AACTTGTGAGATATTACATGATGGGATTAAAGGTCAAGCTTTTAAAAAGTAAATGGAAGGACTATAAAGTGAATTAATTTGATCAGGGTTAAAATACATATGTTGTGGTTTTTGGTACCTATTAATGGAATTTCTTTTTAACAGGACCAAATGATGTGGCTTTGAAGATTTGTTTATAAACGGGGAGAGATTTCTTTTACTTTATTCCTCAGAGAAAGTGATAAGTTGGAATACAAAATGGATTTATTGATTAAGGTTAAAAAATATGTTATCTCTGGTAGTTAATGGACTTTTGCTGAATAGGACTGAATGATGAGTTTTTACAATTTGTTTATTGATAAGAGATGAGATATGGGAAAAAGAGTTTATTATTCAAATATTAGAGAAGATGTTAAATTACTGAAGTTGTTTATACTTGTCTGGAGGGAGGAGGGAGTCATTTTTTATATCTCTCCTTTTCTTTTTTCCTTTTCTTTTTTTTTCTCTTTGCACTTTTCTTTTTCTTTACTTCACTATTTATGTTTCTCTTAGTTTGTATTAGTCTTTTATCTTTGTATTTGTAAACTGTAATAAAATAATTACACAAAAAAGAAGGCCCTGAAGACTTGGATCATCCCCCAGGCCATGGTTGTACATAGATTGTGTCTACTTCTCAGTGCAATATATTTTGTTTTATTGTTTTATCATTTTCCTTTGTATTTGACATTTTCAACCCAGAGTCACTTGGCAAGTGGGTGGCCATATAAATTGAATAAATACATAAATAAATATTTTGGAGTCTTTTCATCTGATTCCACTCACCACTGGGTTGAAAGTCTGCAAATTCCAGAGGGGACAAATTCCAGAGTTTGCTATTCCATTGACCTGGAATTAAAAAGTTCAGTGGAGCAAACTGTCCAAATGAAAATGGCAACTCCAGGAGACTCCTCCTCCTCCTCTGGTTACAGAAGCAACATTCTCATGGGAACAGAGATTATGGCACATTTGGCACCATCATTGCTCCTGTTCCTGCCATTTTGTTCATCCTGGGATCAGAATGGTCTTTCTGAGACAAAAGAACAGGGGATTCCACTTCCATTGCATGTCCATATAAACCAATAGGACTAGCTAGATTCAGAGTTAAAGTACCTTTATCTCATTGCCTAAAATGGCCTTCCCCAGTCCAGTACAACTCATCTGTAACTAAGCTGGGGACTCAAACCCTTTTGCCTTTTTGCTCCTGTAAAGGAAAAATTGTATTTTGAAACTTCCTTTCTGGAAATAGCAGGTCTGTGTACACTTTATTGTTAAGGCCACCATGCTTAATCACAGGTGTGGGAAACTCCAGGGGCTGTTCAAATGTAGTTCTCAGTAGCTCCAGCCAGCATAGCATCAGCCTTTTCCTGATATTTTAGTCTGCTACATACAAGGAGCTTTTTACAAAAAAGAGCATACAAAAAATAGGCCAAACCCCTTCTCACCTGCAGTGCAAAGAAGTACAGTCCAAAATGTTACCACCTCATTCTGTGTCCTCCAGAGGTCTTAATTTACAACCTCTCCTAGCAGCAGGGAATGGCAGGATAATGCCCATTATTCTTACTAGCACATCACTGGATGATGGGCTGAGAAGACGGGACTTTTAGGCTCGGCACCTGAGGGGCACCAGTTTGGAGAAGGCTGTTGTAGGAAGCCTAATAATAGCATTTTCAAAGGGGGCGTAAGTGTGAGCTGGGTGATGCCCCTGGTTGATAAGCATAAGGGCAACCGGATAATTTCAGCTAAGTCTAACCTGGTGTCTAACCCACCTGGAATTACATGTGTGAGAAAGCAGACCTCATTCATATTCTGCTCCTTTGGGCTGAGAAACCTTTGTGAAAGCCACACTTGACTTGACTTGACTTGACTTGACTTGACTTGACTTGACTTGACTTGACTTGACTTGAGTGCACAGGCTAGAGTAAATAAACGATTTGATCCATTCTAAATGACAAGTTTTGCATGTAGTGCTAGTTGGTTTTCTGCACATGGATTTATTCGAACCACAGAATTTGGTGCTTCTGCTCCTGAACTGGTGTTACTGGATGATAGCACCCATTGGAAATAAAAGGCCTACTGCAAGAAGAGCAATGCAGCAACCATTGCTTAAAGAGTTTTCTGTGTGGGCAGGCAGGCATACACAGAGCATGGCTGGTGTGTGTCTCCTTCAGTGCAGTTACTTCATCCTTAAATTTGAGTTAATTTAGAGATGGCCAGTGAGGAATTTGGTTTCAGCTCCAGTGGGCTGAATCAAGCCAAACATCTTAGATGCACGTGATATGAGAACAACACCTCCAGTAGCATATTGCTGGGAGCAGAAGTCAGAATGGATGGATCTAGACCAGAAGCTCTGAGAAGTAGGTTGTGCTTGGCAATTTTGGCCCTAAATTATTCTTACCATCTGCCTCCTTTTCTTTGTGGGCTTGTAGCAGCCCCTTCGCCAAAGCATACCCTGGGGAGTTAGGGGCAGATTGATGAAGGAAGTGCAAAATTTTGTGCAGACTGGGGTACTCTGGGGGTTCCCAGAAATCCACAGGGTGATCCTGTAGCCAGTGGTCCAATACCTGGAGTACTGCCCTGCAATCCAAAGAGAAATGCAGTCAGCTCCTGACCCCATTCACCCCAAGCCCTGGGGCTACACTTGTTCCACACAAGCTACCCCTGGCCCTCAACTGTCCCTACTGTACTCCACTTTAATCATCTCACCCAATAATGTTGCCCTTCCCATATCAAGGTTCACACTAATCTGGCACCTAATGTTTTTCCTGCATACTCCCTCTTATAAGACTCCCCCCCTTTTCCCCCCAAAGACATAAAAGGAGATTGTTAAACAATAACATCTCCTCTGCTTCTCCTCCTCCTCCTCCTGGAAGTAGGATTATATTTCCCTTTTCTACTCAACCAAACTGTCAGAGGCAGAATGTTCTTTTCAAAAAAATGTCTTAATTACTATAGGTCTTCCTTTTGCAGTGGCAGGAGACCTATCACTTATCCCCTATGGAGCATCCATAATTTAGACTTGGAGCAGCTAGAGCTAATGGTTCAGGACTAGTTTTTAGACACAAGAAATCCTTTAAAACCCCTGGGTCAACCATTAGTTGGAACTATTTATATGGGTCTACACAATGTGGTACGCATAAATCACTTTTCTTCAATCTGAATTCCCTCCAGTTGTGTGAACTCCCATAATTCCCCATTCAGCATGGCCACTGCTAAGAATTCTGGGAGTTGAGATCCACAAATATGGATGCATCAAAGGCAGGGTGGATTCACACAACATGCCAAGTCAACAGTAATAAACCACCTTATTGCTCATATGATGTGTGAACCTGATAGTTTTGGATCCTGGAAGAAGCCTGGTGGATTATTCCCTATGGCTGAACATTTAGGATTGAATTGTCCTGAAATCATGCTATCTTTTGCTACCTGCTGTTTCCTGGTATTCTTTTGTACCATATGCAATGAGTCCGTGCTTAGATTTCTATGAAGATACACTAAGTTACTGTAGCATGAAAGAGTCAATCTACAGGGAAACTGCCAGAAGCAGCAGCAACACAGCCTGTATTTCTATTTTGCTGCCCTGCCAAGTTCCTAACTCAAACTTTCCCTGGAGGTCTGATTTGGGAACCTCCTGTGTTCTCCAGCCATCTACACCATCCACCCCATACCCAGTGGCTCACTTGTCTGGTCCCAGAGGCAGCAGCAACTCCAGCACCTGCATGGGAGTAGCAAAGGCCTGATAGGTGGCCAGGAAGCTAGATGTGTAGTCAAGGTCACCCTCCTTGTTGGCTGTCAGCAGCCATTCCACCAGCCGGGGGAGTGTGGCAGCCCGCATTGTCCGCCTCTTGCAAGTACGGTACTGGACAAAAGGACATTCTGGGGTGCCTGGGTGGTCCTGCTGGGAAAGGGGTAGACGTGAGATAATAGGCACAGACAGAAAGTTCAGGCTAAGTCATGCAGCAGCACTACTCTTAAGTATAAATAATATACTCAAAGGAATATATTTAAAACTCGCCAAAGCAAATGGTGGCACCTTGGCTGATCCCAAAGGATTAAGAAGAATGGGACTTGTACTTAAGTAGGAGACTACCAGCAAATCTCAGGGTAGTAGGCTAGACTGGGAAATTAGAAATATACCAGGAGGAGACACAGAAAACCCATTTCTGTACTGCTGCCAAGAAAACCACATGGTTGTGTTCAGGGAGTTACCACGATCGGTTCAAAGGCCCATCTAGTCCAGCATTCTCTCCTCTGAGTGGAGGATCATTGAGGCCTTGGAAGTCCAAAGAATAGTAAGAAGGCAGCAGCAACTTTCCCAACAACTGCTACTGAGATATAGATTGCATCAGATACTGTTGGTATCATGTAGTCATCAGGACCACTGGCCACTGAGTGCCCTTGTCCTCCAGCTAACATTAAACCTAGGGGTAACCTCCCATCACTTCAATGGTATGACAAACTTTTTAAAATATTTAAAATAAAATTAACTGCATGAAAAAGTGCCTGATTTTCAGTGGATTATATTTTCCTTTTGATCTCCACCAATTTCCTTCCCTTGCGATAAAAAAGGAGAGGGCCCGGTCTTCTTTGGATTATAGCAGCACCTACCAAGGAAGATGCTCCGCTGGCTGCAGGCTCTGCCTTCACTCGCTCAAGGGCGACGCTGTAGATGGCTCCATCTTCAGCCTCTTCTCCCCACTGCTGTAGGGGGGTCTGGTGAAAGCGAGAGAATAAACCAGAGCAATGCTAGGACCAGGGTTGGCAGGTTGCTCAAACAACGTGGCTATGACAGGACGGGGCAAGAGCTAAGCCTGGAAAGACATTTTGGATGCCAAAAACCACTAATATGTTATTCTGGAGTTTCCACCACTTCACTGCCTCAACTGAAGAAAGAAATCAAATGACTCATGTGCATGTGCACATACACACACACCCCCTCACACACACAGAGGTTTGCATGTTGCAAACCAATGCAGTAGTCTCCAACCTCATCTTTGTTTCCAACAATGCCTTGGTTTCCATGAAACCCAGAGGCATTCTTAGAAATTAAAAATGACAGGAAATGTGGTGGTCCACCAGAAAAAAAGACAAAGGTGAGTTGCAAAGGGCCATAATGAAAGTCTTAAAGAGCAGGACCAACTCAATGGGGATTAGGTGTGGGGAGCATCTCATTTGTTTGGCTGATAAGTGTGTATTTTGTGAGAGGGCCCATGACATGCTCTCAAACCCTTTCCTGCTTCAGAGGGGTTAGCAACCCCAACCTTATTTTACTCAAAATCATTGTAACATCATAGTGCTATATTTTTTATTAGTCTTAGTCATTTTTAGCACATTGGGAGAAAAGCTAAGACATAAATAAACCCATAAATAAACCTGGAGATCTGTTTATGAATAAGAGAAAGAGGGAAGATTTGTCAGCTAAGAAAAAGGTCATCTATGAAGCCTTGATGAATCTGTCTTTGGAAGCAAATGACCTGATCTACACCTCCTAAATGAAGCTGCAGATTAAATGGAATTAACCTCTGGATTTCATATGTCTCCAAATGTTGTGATGGGGTTCTTAATCAAAAATATGTACCAAGACCTATATAAAAATAATATATATTTAAAAGGGAAATATTTTTAGAAAAGTGTATTTTGTGAAAAAAATATTGACATGCAAATTTAAATATGTATTAAAATATGCTTTGATGCATTATATTTTTAAAAATCACATATCAATGGGGCAATCTGATAATAATATATTTATTCATGAACATTTAAAAAGAACTGTCATGGGCTAGAAATAGACTAACTCATCTATCCCTAATTAATGTACTGTATAGATTATTTTTCCAGTTCCCAAAAAAAGGGGGGGAGCAGTTAAAGGGACAGTTAAACATAGTTTCCAGAACCCTAACAGATACGCTTTCATACCCTTTAGAGTGAGTGCACAAATACAAAGATGCACTCACATACCCACAATCCCAATGGATGACATCCATAAAGGGGAATGTGGAGGTGAAAAAAGTGTCTCCCCGGTTCACCCCTGGCCTGCTCACTTCCACTTCATGCTATGCTGCTAAGGGAGCAGATGTCTGAGGAATCACCCAGGAGCTGTTATTATTATACTCCTGGGATCAGGCTGATCCTGCCCACGACCCATACAGTACTTGACTGGAGGGAGATGCTTTGTGTTTCTATAGTTTCCTTGTCCTTCCTCTGCAAATAAGCTGCAGGTGCTAAGGAATGTATACAGTATGTAAGCACAAGGCAGCCCACAGCACATCATTTGATCTCAGGGTGTAGCTTTGTCCTCTGGAGGAGCTTGGAGTAGGAGACACAGCTATGGGGACATCAATTAGAATTCATGCCTCTCTCTCTCTCTATTCCCTTTTTCCTTTGCTGAGACCCCTTCCACAAGAACTGAGATTAGAAAAGAGTTCCCTTTAAAATAAGCCCAGGGGAGCGTCTCAGGACAGTGGAATAGAGGGGAACCCACCCTTCCTGCCTTCGCTACTAGCACTGTGCAATCTTGTTCAAAGTGTTGGGAGCAGAGTGCTTTTGAGTCTATGAGCCCTGTTGTAGAGGCTTACTCCTCCCAACCACATAATTTCTCTGCCACCTTCAGTCCTGGATACCACCCTTAAGGGATTCCAGACAGCTGGCTTTGGAGCCTCTTCCCTTGAGCAGAGGGGTCGAGAAGGCAGAAGCCTATGGGACTAAATAAACCAGTCCTTTGAGTGATCTAAGGATCCCTCTTCACAGATTTTCAGCTCCCTTCCTGACCTGGAATTCCTAATCTTACAGAAGCAACAGAAGTTTGGATATATAACTACAGAGAGGACTCATGGGTATGGAGGGATAGGTATTTACTGTAGGTAATGTTTTACATATTAATGATAGAGGAATTTTAGCTGCACCAGAAGCCACAGGTTAGCCAACACATTCTCCCCTAGACTGTTCACTGAACACAAAAAACTGGGTAAAAATAAATCATGGTTAACTCATTGTAAATATGGTACACAAGTCTTGTGATCACAGTTTAGATTTTTAATTAAGAGCTGATGGTTACATTTCAGAGGGATGAAGATCCTTTGTTTAATGTTCTTTACAAATTAAACCTTTCCTTCAGTAAGTACCACTGAGTTGGGTGAAATTTATTTTACATTACTTTATGTTAACTACACATAGGATATAGTTATTCCCATAAACCATGAAATTATATTAAAAGTTTGCTTAATTTGGCTGGCTTTGTTTTATTTTTAACCAACATATTAGCTTTGCTGAGTAGAGAGCAATTATAGAGAAGCTGAATATCAATACTGTATTTAGTGGGTATATAGTTATGGATTCTTAGGGACAGGGTTATGGAACTGTCACGATGAGTTCTTCATTTCAAAATGTATCACTCAGCCACTCTGAAGCTTTCAGCAGCCTTTATGTCAATTAAGTTTCACCAGCTGCTTAATATATGCATTTTATGCCGATGTTTAGACATGCTAAGAAACTAACTAGTTTCTCTCCAGGTGTTTGTCGATACATGGTTAAGTCATTTTGGTGAAAGGAATATCACAGAAGTCTTTCCTTTCACCCCTGGAATGAAATCTGTACACAGGCGTCCCACAGTCCTCCTTCACACCAGATGTGCATAACTGTGTAATTCCCCCTTCAGTGGGAAAGCCACCACCAAAGTACACAAGTATTCTGCCCTCTTGACCTCTGGATCTCCTGATCCAGTTACTGCTGTTTCACTCCCGTGACCTTCCTTGACATTTCCTACAGAGGAGAGCCACCGGACCGGTCTGGCAAGAGGTGGGAATGTAATACTACCATCATCTGCACACTAACTGGTGCCAGGCACCGGGCAGGGCATGTTTGGGCGCATGCAGGTATCCTCCAGTATTGGCACAAAAGAAAAGGGCTGCATCTTTCCTCTCTCCCCACAAAGCCGCCCGCCTCTATTTTCTCTATTAGCTGGAATCACTCTACAAAGTCACAAGGAAAGTACATAAATAAATTGACCAAGATATTGCTCAATCTTTCTGTCTCAGATTCTCATATGTAAAATACAACCTACCTATTGCCTAATATTACCAACTTTGAGTAATTGCTTTACAGATAAGAATGTTGACATTAAGTGTTTTCATTAAGCCAATACTGCCATGTATACGGGGAGGAAACGTATGATCCTGCTCCCAAATATTGGAAAAACTTTTGTAAATTCTCAAATATTTCCCCTTATTATATTAATGCACATCCCAATTCTCTCCCCTTTTTTCTTTAAGTGTGTGCCTTTTTTGCATGTTGAAGAGAAATGTTTACCCTTTTCCCTGGATTCGACACTTGCATTTGTGCACTCACTCTAAAGGGTGTGATGGTCCATGTGTGTGTCTGAAGTGAATTACAAGAAGATGAAAGCAAGGGATCAGAAGCCAGGTTTCTAGGTTTAAGATGATGGTGATGATGGATTTTAATCATTCCCCTTTATAATAGTTGGTGCTTAATTCATGACCGGAGGTCAAAATTCCTGGGCACTTCCAACTTGCGATACATAGCATCAGCCAGCCATCACTGTAGTGATAAAAAGCTGTCTCCATCATTAGTGACATTATCACTAATATTAATATCATTCTATAAATTGTTTGTGCAAATCCTATACTTCATACAGAGTCCGGAGGAGAACCTTCCCTTGCTCAGTCAGTCCTGCTCTTTAACTATGGGGCGACAAGGGAGAAGGGGCTAGCCAGCAGTCGTGCCTCTCATTGGAGGCATCCATTCACTGCAATCTTTGTCCAAAGGTGAGCCCCAGAGAATACGCGGGGTCGCCCCTCAGGTCGCTAAGTTTGGGGCTGCCGGCCGAGGGGCCTTCCTTAGACGAGGTTCATACCAGCCCCTGCAGATCAATTAAAAAGGCACTGCGAGAACTAAGAGGGGCCGCCTCCTGAGCTCGCCTTAAGGAGGGTGGAAAGACCCTGAAAAACGAGACAACGGATGGACAAGCACCATCCTCCGGGAGTGCGAGGGCGATCAGTCGCAAAATAAGACCCACCGATGCCTGGGACTCGTTAAGAGTTGGCAAAAGAGGGAGGTCACCCGGCGAAGCGTCGCGCAACCCCGGAGGGAGGAGGAGCTGCCCGGGTCGAAATGCCTTCTCCCTCCGAGGGAGCACCGCCTCGCTGTTCTCCTGCTGCGCCTGAAGAGGCCCCTGAAGCCGAATGCCGCCCCCCTCGCCCTCCTCCAAGACCCCGCCGCACACCCTCGCCCAC